TACATGGAGTCGGTTACTTAACTGCATTGATTAAGGTTATTTCATTCGGCACAAAAAACCATCCACAGCCCATAATGAGGTGATTGAGCGGCACGGAAAAAAGGCTTCCTGTAGAAACAACGAAGAACAATTCTGTGAAGCGTCAGTTGGCCCCCGAGACAGAGGAGGTTGTTGGGGATAGGGGGTTAACACGAACTGGAATGATTATGCCCGGGCACAATTCCCAAAGAAAGTCGAGAGTGATGACAGATCTAAACAGGGATAAGGATGAATAGTTCGATGGAACATTAATCATCGCGCCCCATCCGCGCGTCTAAACCGTTGGCATCGTTATTCAGATTCCTCTTTTGTAATGATGATGTCAATTGCGATCGATGGAATCGGGGTTAGTTTAAGTGAATGCGATGTCTAACCATCCATCTGGTATTAATCTTATCGACTCGAGGACGTATTGTAGACTCGTCAAAATACGTGTGATTCCATGTTTGGTGAGACACAATATTCCCTTGGTAATATAAATTAAGAACTTAGTTTACAGTAACAAAGACAAAGACTTGAAATTTATTAATCCCATTGGTCAGTATTTCGAACTGACTACCCATCCTGTCAGGATTCGAATCCCCGAGGTATGATTGGGAGTGATCTTTTCCACGTAGTATATATCACTTCTAATGGGGATATACATGTATACGTCGTCTGTACAGTTCCTTCCCTTTAACTCCTTTAACTCCTCACACCTGCACAAACGCACATGTACCTGCACAACTTTATGGGAATAAAGTAAAGTTCTGCTGTCCGACACATAACACTTCTTGTTCCCCTGAAATCATGGTTGGAACAGGCGCAGGGACAGTACCTGCGGCTATTCCGGTGAGTACAGTTCATTGCAGATACGCCGAATTTGCTCTGGCAGTCGAAGTATTCCTTTCAGGAAGTCAGAATGCGCCCTGAAAATTTATTTGTTCCGGAACTACCAATCAGAACAAGGATAGACGAACTCAGATGATTGGGCGGAACCGCTAACCAAGCAAGACGATTGACAGTAATCTAGTCTACCAATCGTCGGATAGATGCAATCTCCTGTCCTCTGTCTCTCTTCCTTAGGCATAATCGTGATTTTTTCATAATAAACGAATTCCTGCATGCTTCGAGCTGTGTTCTGTTTCACTATCTGTGGAGTTCCTATCTGGACGAGATACATTATCGGAAGACGATCCCTTGAGAATCCAGTACTGAGTTAAGTCCTGTGAGGTTACAACGTCTACCCTCGAACCAGGGACTTATGAGTTCGACGTTGATGAAAGAGCTCTTCTCCTAAGATAAGGGACAATTCACGGATAATAGACTGTCGATGATGCGGTTAGAACTCATTAACTATATAAGGTAACGATTGAGTGACCCTCTCAGCTCTCGGCTGACAACTCGATGCATCTATCCATTTTGTGAAGCCTCTCTTCTCCGAAGTGTGTACTTTTCACACTCTCCCCACACACACACACACACACACCCCGGGAAACTTTTGGAACTTCGGTCTCTATCGGGAAGTGCGTGTGAGTGCGTATGTACATGTGTGTGTGTGTGTGCGCGCGCGTACATGAACAGTGCAACTGTTTTTGAATCCGATCTCCTTTCCTTGCTTTCCTTCTTGTGTTCGATAGATCAGGATGAGCGAATTAAGCTGCCCCCATGTCATTCTGAACTCTTTAAAATACATTTCGCAGCTAATTCACATTTTTGCACGCTCAATGTCCCACTGCTTTATCCTTTATTGTCAGTACGGTAACTGTGGTTTGTTTTTTGTCAGTGGATAAATCGTGTTCCCGGTTGGATTGTAATAAGTAAACAGTGAAAAGTCGTGATAGATTAGGTTTTCGTCGTTGTTTTTGGTGTACCATCCAGTTGGATTACACGTCGGAAAAAGGGAAAAATGATATTCTCGCAAGATCAGTCTGACCATCA